TCTCTCTCTCTTTCGAGAGAAAGTCTCATGTATTCCAGGTTAAGAGGATGATCTTCAATTTCTGACCCTCGTACCCTCACCTCCCAAATGATGGGATGACAGTCCACATGACAATATCTGATTCTCACATGCTATCAAGTTCTCGAACACTGAGCCAAAGGGTTTATAACCCACCTGTGCCTTTGACCTTAAATGAGCTATAAGTGGATTTTTCTTATGTTGGATGTTTAAATAATTATTCTCTTGTAGATTTTGACCTAGAAGAAAAAGTTCCCCATCACACATTCTCTTTTGTGTGTAAGGGAAGACAATAAGGTCTAAATGGCTATGTGTAGACAAATCAAAATTTCTCTCCGTTAGCTAACTCAGAACCTGTAAGATGCTTCTTTCCTATGCACCCTCACCTGTGCCCCAGACAGCTACTCCAACTCTGCTTCCCATGACTCAGAACCTATCTTTTCAGCTCTCCACTAGTCTACCTTCTGTGTACCTCACCAGAGACCTCTGTCTCTAACTCCCACAGCTTTTCCAGGCCCTGTGGGGAGGCTGTGATTGGAATATACTGTATGAGAGATGAATAAATGAATTTAAAAGAAAAAGAAAATAAAAACAACAACCCCTACCCAAAAACCAGGCCTGTATTCTCTGAACCCAGCGGCCTTGGACACTCGTGCACTCCCGTCTGTTCCCCATGGAACAGATGCTTGGGCTGACAGCTGACCCTTCTTCACCTATTGTCTACCATGTCCCTGTGTTCATCTCTGTAGCTTACTGCTCACCACACCTTACCTACCATGCCCTTCATCTTCTTCCCGGGCAAAGCTTTGCTACTAAGCCTCTGGAGCCTTGGCTCACCACTGTTTCTGCCTCTTAGCTGTCTACCCTGAAGGGCTATGGGGTGAGAGAGTAGGGAAGGCAGGTCTGATCACCTTACAAGGCTGTCTGAAGCACAAGAAAAACTGTCCTTGAAATATTGTGAGAAGTTCTAAGGGTGGAGAGATGAAAGCTTTGCTAAACCGGCAAAGTGACCTCAATGATCACACAGCATCCCAGTAAATGGCAAAGAACACTCTTGTAATGAGCCTCAGGCACTGCACATCCATCATGGTGGCCTGGGACTAGCCAGAGGGTGCACCACAGAGGCCAGGACTTGAAAAGCAGCCCTTCTTCACTGTCTTGAAAAACTCTTGTAATAAAAATACACACAGCAGCAGAGAGGGGCGAAGTGGTGGACTGAGATGTGTAGAGAACAGTGGACTGATGTATCAGAGCTTCCACTATGTCCTTTATTTCTGCAAAAAATGCTGTGAGATACAAAATGGGAAATGCAGACTGTGGAAGGAACAAAGCCTGCAACACTGAATGCAGGGGCTCTTCCCCCTACTCCCCAGGGACCAGAATAGAGAGGTCAAAAACCAGTGGGGCTGGGGGAGGCGTGTACACTGGAGGTGAGTTGTTCTCACAGCTCTGCAGTCTCTGGGTGTCCCGTTAAGGACCTGGCAAACATAAAAGGATCTAGGGTTATTAAAGGTCAGAGACAAGAAGTCCTTTCCCAGCCATGACCAGCTGATGCTGTTTAAGCCGGCATCCCTCAGTGGTAGAGGTGGCTGCAGCAACTCCCTAGGCAGCAACCACCCAGCATCCTGCCTGTTTTAGCTCCAGCAGACATCTTCAGCTGCAGCACTCTCCTTCCTGGTATTTTTACCTCCTCAAATCTTGTGGCTAACCTTTAAATAAGGTGACTCTTTTTCAGTTTTGAAGCCATGATGGCTAACATCCAAAAGATGATCAACTGTAATCAACTGACACAAGCAGGAGGTCCCCAAAGCAATGTCGACTACCATCTGTCCACAGTGAATTAGTGCAGCAGAGGAGAAAAAGAAAAGGTCATGTGACAAAACAATTCACAAGAGATTTGGTAGAGAAAGGTTTGGTTCAGAATAGGCTTGTTAAAAATGAAGGTCAGAAAGGCATAGGCATCTGGCTATCTTCTTCCAACTGAGGAGAGACAGTGAACACAGATTCTACCGAAAGCTGGCTGCAGGGCAGTATGGGTAAGGGATGGATTTAACAAACTAGAGTCTCAAAGTCTGGAGTGTGATTAAATGCTGATGAGCAGAGACAGATAGAACAAAGCTGACAGAACAGTCAGTCAATAGATCAAGGTCTCCTAAGAAGGGAAAGAGTTGGTAGACAAAGACCCAGGTAGAAACAGCAAGCAGCACTGGAGGTGCCAAGGGGGTTGGGGGTGGGGACACAGATGCAGATATGCTGGAGGCCTGGTGATAGAAAGTTCAAGAATTCCATCAACTATTCTCTCTATGAAGCTCTCTTGGCTAAGAATGAGAACAATGGGGTTAGGGACGTGTTTAAGAAGACCCTGCTGTGATAAATAGGAAAGGCCAATCAGGATAGGAGAAGGGCTCTGACTAGCAGTTGGCAACCAGCCAGGGGTGGAACTGTTGTTTGTCCAGTCTGTTCAAAGACCAGGTGGAAGACAGAGAGGAGCAAATGTGCTTAGCCACATGAGATGAATAAATCCGTGGATGGCTCAGGGTCAGAGAACATAAAGATAAAAGATGGGATGGTATTCCAAGAGGAAAGATACTGATCAGGAACGCCAGGTGAAATTACCACAGGTACCAGAGTTACTGACTAGAAACAAAAAGCTTGGGGAAGATTTGGGGTAAGATACACTTCCTGGGTGGACATCTTCTAGGTTAATGATTCTCATTGAGAGATTCTGGTTGTCAAAATGTGTGGTTTAGGTGCTTTCAGGGAGTAATAGATAGGCAAAGGACAATGCTAAATGTCCTGTGATATACAAAACAGCTCCCCCTACCTTCTTCAAACAAAGACTTATCTGATTTAAAAGTCAGCAGTGCCAAGGCTCAGAAACCCATACAGGTCAAAGGTTGCCACAAAAGGTTGCTCAATGGGAAAAGTTAATTTTTACTGCACCCGGGATGGTACTGTTTTTACGGTGGGGTGGTAACATGTTCTGACCAGGAAAAACACTGAAATTCAGAGAAAGTTGCAACTTTCTGAGATGTAAGAGAGCAGCTAGCTGCGAAGTAACATGGAGAATGGACACAGGCAGTGGTCACATGTGTAGCATAAAGTAAGGGCAGACAGTGAAAGGGATGGTGCTGCAACTGGACTGCAAAGAAGGCCCCTAAATTTGCCAACATCGTACTCTTTAAAAAAGCTTACAACACAAAGGCTAAGCAGCTGTCTCGTTTTAGCTTCAGTAACAGTTACGGGCCCGTAAGATTGCAGACCTCAGCAGGGAGTGGGACCCTGTGGTATCAGGATCACTCAGGGACTTACTAAAATAAAGATGTAGGTGGGAGTAAACTTTGGATCTTTATAAAAATCTCTTACTGATCTGATAGGGAGTCAGGTTGAAAAAGCTCTGGGTTAAACTAGAGATGAGGGAAGGAGGAGAGAGGATAGGGGAGAGAGAGAGAGGGAGAAAGAGGAGGAGAAAGACAGAAAGAGAGGGGGGACAGAGACAGAAACACATCTACACAGAGACAGATACACACAGAGAAAGACACATACGAGACAGAGACAGAGACAGAGAGAGAGAGAGAGAGAGCGCGAGCGAGAGCGCTCAGAATGAACCTGGAAAAGTCAAGGCTTTAAGGATGGCAAGAATGAGAGCCAGCAGCTCAGAGGCATCTGTTTTCAGGTCTGACTCCCTTGAGGAAGACACTTTCATTTTAGTAATAACCATGAATGACTCTTTTTTTTTTCTTTCCTATTTTAGGTACCAGCTAGATCTGGAGGTTCCTGGGCAGGGATAGGAAGACAAGCAATGCCTTACCTCTCAGTTTCCTGATCAAAAGCAGGCAAATTGCTGACTGATTTCTAATGCAACCCACAGATCCTTTTCCTGACTTGCTTCGTAAATGTATTTTCTTGGGCCTTACACACTTAGATTTTAAATAACTGAATGAAGAAAAATGATCAGAAAGATCTTCCTTTATATAACCTAGAGTTAAAATGCTTACTCCAGAATCTTGGATTTCTATTTCTGTATACAGGAATCTTCTAGAGATCCAGTATTTAAAAAAAAAAAAAACCACGAAGTATTTTGTATGTATTTCCTAAGGCACAAAATGTTACTTTCTGAGCAAGTAAAAGAGGACTGTTAGCTTCATGGAGACACAACTGCCTACAAATATTTTATCTAGTCACAAGTCCACAAGGCAGAACCATGTAAGTATCCTTTCATGTGATAAGAGAAGAAAGTAAATCTTTGGTTAGGCTTCTTAGTAGGTGATTTTACACTCTACGCTCAGAACGTTGCATCTTGGTGTTTCATATTCCCTGGCTTTGGACAGAACCATGGTAGAGATCATTATGCTTATGGAGGGAATGTGCATAGCCCAGTCTGATGGTGAGTCTGTGATCTTAGCTACATGGGAAGCTGAAGCATGAGCTTGGCAGGTTCAAGCAGTCTGGCCTACAGTGAGTTCATGGTCAGCCTGGGCAATGTAATGAAATTCTGTCTTTTTTTTTCTTCCCCAAGACAGGGTTTCTCTGTATAGCCCTGGCTGTCCTGGAACTCACTCTGTAGACCAGGCCTGCCTTGAACTCAGAAATCCCCCTGCCTCTGCCTCCCAAGTGCTGGGAATAAAGGCGTGCACCACCACTGCCCTGCTGAGATCCTGTCTTAAAGTAAAAAGAATGCTGGAGACATACCTCAAAAGAGAGGAAAGAAGAGAGAGAAAAGGAGGAGGGAGGGAGAGGAGGAGTGAGCTAGCTAGCTAGATATTATGCAAGGAATGATAACATTAAAGAGAGTCCCTTTTGCTGGCTCTGCCATATTTGAACTTATACACCTGAAATCTACTGCTGGCTTCACTGTCCTTCACTGGACAATTCTGCTACGGTTTGGATAAAGTCTGAGTGTTGCTCCCAGAGTCCACTGTGGTGGAACTTTGGTCATCAGGGTGATACTGTTGTAGTTTGCAGAACTTCAGGGGAATGGGACCTACAGAGGTCCTGAGGGTACTGGTGGTGTGAGGTATTTCCCACGGAACTCTTCAGGTGGTTCTCATGAGGTTCATACAAAAGCAGCATGTATGCTGTTATGTATCATCCTCACCAGAGGGAAAACCAACAGGACGTTACACTGAGAACTTCCAAGACTACAAAACAAACTTTTCTTCAGTAGCCATGTCAGATACTTTGCCACAGTATGAAAAAAGTAGCCAATATAAATAAAGAGGAAACAAACACTCTGGATTGTTGTGGGAATCAGAAAAGATAGTAAATGCAATCTGTACAGTGTTGTGTAGTGTCTCCGAGCAGCTGTAAAGCAAATGGCAGTCCTTCTATTCTGCATAACTTGGGTCCCTAGCATTGTGGAACCCAGAGCAAGTGGAGGATGATTCATGAAAGGGCTTTGTAATGAACTCTGAAAGAAATAGAAAATGGTGTTTGTTTGTTTTGGGTCTTTTTTTTGGCTATACTAGGGATGAAACCCACAACTGGAACATGCTGGGCCATTGCTCACCACTGAGCTACAGCCTAGCCCAGGAGGGTTACTGAATACAGACTCTTAGGTTATGGTGTGCCTGGATGTTGCCATGCTTTCTTATACAAACAATTCTTGAGAGGGACTCTGGTCAGAGTTGACCAAGACCTCCCTTTATCAGCATTTGGTCCTTAGCCTGTTAGCAGAGCTATTGGTCAGGTGGCCTTTTCAGGAGCAAGTAGATACCCACTCTGGAAAAGAGACATCAACACCATTCCTTTCAAACAAAGAAAGCTGACATACTTGCAGGGGAGAACCCGAACAACATCATTCTGTTTATAGCTCTCTATGCAGACTGCACAGTGATCGAAGTCTGGGTCTGTTTCCTGAAACAAAAGCACAAGAGCTGAGGAGTATGTACATACAAGAGCCACAGACAACCCAGCTAAGAACACTTCTACCGTGAGCAGGCAGCTATAAAGGGAAAGGAACTAAAAAGAACAAGTTTTCATTTGCTTAAGTGTGTTGACCCAAATTACCTATGAGTCAATCATATAATTCTATTTATGATATGTCTTACAAGAGGCCAGAGCTCTCATTTCTCCACAGTTCACAATGGATCGCCGTGGATTATCATGTGTGTACCCCATTTCCACGATAACTACCTACTGTCAATAGGTTTCACTGTTACAATCTAAAAAACTCGAGGTCCCCATCAATCATGTAGCCGATCAATTCCTAGAGCTCTTACAAATGATGTGGAGTGTTCAGTAGACTCCTCCTAGGTTACAGTCCTAACTCAGGTATAAGAGTTGCACTCTGGCCACAGACATGGGGCACTTAGTAGTTTAACTTAACAATGAGTATTTATCAAGAATCAGGAAAGGCCAGCCAGTTGTTTGGTCACCTCGTTAATAAATTTCCTTCATTCTCTGGCCTGAGCAGGGTTCCACTAGAATTGTCTTAAAACAAAGTATGGTAATAACCAAAGCCATGGCCATATAACCATATGGAAGGTCAAATTTCACAGATGAAAGGGTACAAAAAGTGTATTAGCTTTTATAATCACAGAAAGATTATTTGGTATTGGGGAGGGGTAGAGACTGATGTGGTAGGCTGTCCTAAATCCAGGGAATTTCTAATTAATAGCAGCTGGCCAAGTCAAGAAAGCATTTTTACCAGGGACTGGGCTAGGGTTAAATGCAGCTGTCTTGGTGCAGCCTCTATTTTCTGCAAGTGCCTTTCTCTTTCCTAGTGTGCAGTGACACCCAGTGAGAATGTTTCTACCTTAGGAGCTGTTTGAAGACAACAGGCTCCAGTATTCAAAGACATGGGAATAAAAATAGTAAAAGAAAGAATGTGTTAAATCAAAGAAAATAGAGAATCACACAAAATCCTCCTACCAGAGCGCTCTGCTAAAATGTTAGCACTGGGTGTGGGATGGCAATGGTCTTGTTTTTTTTTTTTCCTTTAGAGCTTTCTTTCTTTTATTTTTTCCAGACAGGGTTTCTCTGTGTAGCCCTGACTGTCCTGATCTCACTCTGTAGACCAGGCTGGCCTCGAACTCAGAAATCTGCCTGCCTCTGCCTCCCAATTGCTGGGATTGAAGGCGTGCGCCACCACTGCCCGGCTATTTTTTAAATTCTCGACAAGTTTGAATATACTGAATGTAGAAACTAACACTAATGTGCTATTTGGCATTTGAGTTCTGACAGAGACTTTGATGAAAGGTTTCAGCTGTTATTTGTTATCATCCTTTGACTTGCTCCTCTTATGCTTTAGGTCCAACACGGACAAAATGTTCTTTCTAATCCGTGTTAACTGAGACACCATAGAAATAAAGGTCTTAAAGTCTTCACTTAGCTGGGAAGAAACAAAACCTAAAACAGATGTGGCAGTCTTAAGAAACAGAAGACAATGTACCTGTGTTGGCTATTTTATGTGCAACTGGTCTCATTAGGACTCCTGGAAGATGTGTGCTAGGCTCTAACAGTAGAAAACTACAGAGGAGCAGCTGGTGCTAACTGTGAGCTCCTGAAGCCCAGGAAAACTGAGAGACCAGCCGAAGGCTTTCCAGATGGGCAAAGCGTGAGTGAGATTTCCGAGAGAAAAGTAATTTCGTTACTGTACCTTATCGCCCTTTTTCACCGTTCTAGTTGTCAATTTACTGATGGCTTTCTTGGCTGCGTCTCCAAGACGACGCTAAGAAAATGAAAAATAAAAAGACATTAAATGGAAGATACTTATTTTAGTATGTAATGCTCAAGTGAGCCCATGATCTTTACTTTAAATAATTAAAGGTATGATGTCTATTATTTTAGACCACTTCTGCCATA